ATATATATATATATATATATATATATATATATATATATATATATATATATATATATATATATATATATATATATATATATATACATATATATATATATATATTTTATATATATATATATATAGCATTTAAATATATACATTTTTTTTTAATTTTATAATATATATATATATATATATATATATATATATATATATATATATAACTTTATAATATATAAAATAAATATTCAAAAATTCCAAAGAACGAGTTTTGTGATAAAATAACAAACGAACGAATGCGGAATAACAAAGAACGCGAAAAAAGGATAGTTGATCTTGTAACCGAAAAGCGCTAAAATTAAACACGTTAAATAATTGCTTGTTGAAATAAGAAATTTACGCAAAGTATACTAATTTATAGTAAAATAAAGTAGCTTATTGAACAGTTTTTAAAACAATATATTTAATATAATTATAAGATTAAAATAAAATATTTTATTGTACTTCAAACTTTATAAAACAATTTTTATTTGTTATCTATAATTGAAATAATAAGAACTTTCCAAAAATATTCAAGTAAGAATATTGATAAAAAAAAAAAAATTTATTTGTTCAAAAGTTTATAAATATATTTTCGATAAAAGAAATAAGAATTTTAGGATTTCTTATTAAAGGATTCAAATTTTTTTTTAATAAAATGTTTGGTAGTATTTAAAACTATATAATAGTATGCAATACGATAAGTTTTTCCAAAACTAATCTTGCAAGTACAAATTACGAAAAGAAACGGTGAATTGGTTTTACTTTTATACATAAAATTTCATCTTTTTATTTTATGTTATGTAATTACAGTATTATTATACAATCAATAAACAAACATAATTTAGAGATCCAACAAAAAAACTTCATCAAAACCTTAATGGGACAGATTTTCATCACTTTCGCTGCTCTCAATTGAAAATGATATTCTGCGTAAAAGCAAAGTTTACGACATTATTTCACTATTTGCATGCATAAAATCTTGTAAAATGTATATATAATCGTTTATACAATATTTTTAATCCTGATATAACTGTACATCATGAGTGTACATGACTGTAATCCTGTACATAAATATTCCGAAACAAAAATTGAAATTTTGATTCGGAATATTTTGGAAACTATAGCCATAAGCGGCTTTGAAAATATGGTACTTTGTTTAGGAATGTGTCATAATTAGGGATCGCTTATTATACAGTATACTAAAATTTTATAATACAGCTTATCGTATGGTATACGGTAATTGATACTATAAAAAATAACGTAAACAAAATTTTTTTTTGGCGAAAATGTAACGCAAGTTTGTAAAAAAGTTTTTACGGTTTATGTAAAATAAATGTTTTTTTTTTAATTTAATCTTTTTGTTTGTGTGTTTTATTATACTATTAACCATTGGTTACGCATTCTTACTGGATAAACAAAAAAAAGTTGAAGCCTTCGATCAAAATCAGCAATCATTTGATAATGGTTGTTATCTTGCCACATTAAAATATCAAATTAAAAAAAAAAAAAAGTTTAATCCTGATCAATCATACATAAATGTAATATTGTTATAAGAAATAAATAAATTTGAATTAACAGCTAACGTAATTCCCATTCGGTTTGAAACATCATATTATTAATATAAATTAAAATAAAAGAGTTTCACAAGACTTTAAATATGTGACCTTGAGGAACTTCACATGCAATATTTAACAAATTTGATGATTTATTGTCATCTGCATCTTAAACAATTTTGTGATCAATTGCGTCTAAATCTTTAACCAGATCAATAAAAACACCAAAGTAAATTGAGAATTTTTAAATAAATTAGAAATAATTTCAATACTTTGTTGATCGTCTCTCTCAATATTTTGTTGATCATCCTTCTCAATATTTCGTTGATCCACCCTCTCAATATTTTGTTGATCTTCCCTCTCAACACTTTGTTGATCCTCTCTCTCAATACATTATTGATTTTCTCTCTCAAAACTTTGTTGATCTTGCCTCTCAATACTTTGTTGATCTTCCTTCTCAACACTTTAATCTTCTCTTTTTTTTATCAGTGTGCAAAGACGATTCAGCATATTACACAAAAATATAAAGTCATTTTTCTAGAGTTTTCATTATTGTTCAAATACCAAATAACTTTTCAATCAGTTGGGTCTTATTTGTGGTCTTTTCGATGAAAATTTCTGTATTTAATAACTCCAATACATTTTATATGGGGTTTAAATATAGGCAATTACCTAACCTATCCAATAGTGGAATTTTTCTTTTTCGGGTGGGATTTTTCAAGCAACTAATTTTTGAATAAATTGTGCAAGGTGGGATTTTGCATTAACACTTTTTTCTGCATAATTGGAAACCACTCTTTCAATTGAGGTAAAAAACAAGTTTCAATAACTTTTTTTGTATCGGCTTTGTTTCAATATTCCATTCACAATGATGACAAAGACCTTTCCCATTGATAATTGATCAAAACATGACTTTAGGAGGATGCTCAACTGTCTAGGTTACACAATCTTCATGGAATTTTTCATTGGCAGCCCTTTTGACATGCTGAGCTTTTTGAGTAATAATTTTTTTTGTATATTCATCGCTGAAATGATGAATCATCGCTGAAATGATGAATCTACAAACTATGATTCATATGTCTCGATATGTCAAATTATGACTCAAAACTTTTTTTAAAAAGATTAATTTAAACATTTATTAAAACATTATTATTACAGTCTCAATAAAACAGTTTAATTTTACAATTGATTAAGTAATTTTACAATTGATTGAACTTTTTGGCCCTTTTGTTAATCAATGGAAGCACTCTAAATGTCATTTTAAAATCTTTTAATTATGGTATAAAAAAATCCAGATGTTCAGATCTTCCAAAAAGCAAATACTTCTTTCCAAAATTACAATTTTTTTTAATAGCGTCATCTCAAAAAAATAATCTAAAATTAAAATTAAAAAATTAGATATTGTTTTAAGTTGTCGAACAATAATTTTTTTTTGGTCAAAATTTCTATTTATCAACATCAGAAATGCTCATATCATACCTGGTAAAACTTCGCAAGCTATTATTTATATTATGCTAATTTATATTATTATGCTAATTTATATTATTATGCTAATTTATATTATTTGTGTAATCACTAGAGTGATTCTACTTATACTCGATAAAATTGTAAAGGCATGAGGCATGATATTTATCTCATGGACAATATTTACAGGAATCGAATTTTCAATTATTTAATTAATAATAGTAACAAATACAACAAACAAATAAAAAAGTTTTTACTGAGTTTAAGTCCTAGTTTCAGCTCTGTCTTTTCTCTCTTTTAAAAAGCATTTAAAAACACGTTAGCTGTGAACATGCCGTGAAAAAAAAAACACTCTGTTGGGCCCCAATCTTTTTTACTATTTAATAAACAACTCGTACGCAACATTAATTAAATTTGTATTATTATTTTTATTTTTTATTCACGTTTTATTATACTGATGCCTATTTTATATAATTTATTACTCTTACCATATATTTACAAATACCTAGTGGAATTACATCTAAGATTGGCTTTGATATATCGCAGTCATTTCATCGATGGGTGGGTCAGCTAATCCATCAATTATTAGGTTGTTTTGGCGTGATCTTTTTTAAATCTATAGTTTTTTGTTATTTTTATAATCCATCTTTTCGCTTCTTTGTATGAATTTAACTTGCAAAGTTTTTCTCTTGGAAGTTAATAGTTTATTTAATTTCGTTAAGGTTTTTTATTTATTTATTATTTTTTTATTTGCAATATTTGATTTATTGATGTTTGTTTCGATTTCCAGTTAATTAAGTTATATCTATCATATTTGAGCTCATAATATATCCAAAAAATATTTTTCTCCTGATCTTGACTTTAAAAGTTTTATATATAAAATTAATAATATAGATTTTCAACATTTTATTCAAAAATTTAATATTGTTCCACAAACACGCCTTAGAATGCCGCGGTGCCAAATAAAAAAATTTATTTCATTAGAATTTTAGCCAATCTATTGCAGATTTTTGAATTTAATTGCCTTCTAAATTAACTGAAATATTATTTTGTTAACAGTGGCAGCAGACACGGGAATAGTAACCAGTGCCACCGAGAGGGGGAGTCGCGAGGAACACTTTGTCCCGGGCGGCAGATATTCAAGGGGCACCAAATGAAATGTAGGTATCTAAATAAAAAAAAAAAGGTCCTTCATATATAATATAGGGAAAATGTGATAAATAAGGGCGCCAATCAGGATTGCTGTCCCAGGCGACGTGACAGTTCTCGGCGGCCCTGATAGTAACGGCAACCATCGTATAATAGGCGTAGCAGCTCGGTTTTCGGTAGTTAAGCTACAGATATAGTTTTTTCTTAATTATTTTTTGAGTCATACTCAAAAAATTTTTAATTAGGTGAGATAATCAATTTAATATTATGCTGTAAACATTCTTTTTATCCATTAGACAAAAAAAATTAAATCACTTGATATCTTATCTTATTTTGCAAAATATATTTTATTTTAAATGACTAAAAAATTAATGAATGTATAAAATCAAAAAGCCTTGTCAAAAATCTACAACCCTGAATGGCTTTAAAAATAAGCAAATCAATGTGACTTGTAAAGCATAAGCAGGTTTTTAAATTTTTTTGCTCGAGTATCATATTTCTTTTTAGTGACGTAAAGGCTAAAACCTAATATGATTTGTCGCCTAAAATCTGAAAGTTACACAATTGTTTTTGCTTAAAATTCAACTTGATATTGCCAATTTTTAGTAAGATACCGCCGCATTCAAACTAAGTTTCCTGTCAAATAGTTATTATCAGTCCCCAAACCGTTACAATGCTTAGACATTAAATTGAACTGAGTTTTTTATAATAAAATTTCAACGTTTTGTTAAGCTGTATTTCTTTTTTTAAGGGAATTTAAGCATCATTATTGAGCTTGCATATATGATAAAATAAAGCTTTTAGTATATACTTTGTAGTCTAATTATTATGGTAGGCAATTTATTTTTTTCTATTATTTTCTAATTTTGCTTAGATACCAACACAATACTTAGATTCTAACAAAATATTTTAAATTGTATTACTACTTAAAAAGACAATTATAAAAAGTAGTAGTAGTAGTAGTAGTAGTAGTAGTAGTAGTAGTAGTAGTAGTAGTAGTAGTAGTAGTAGTAGTAGTAGTAGTAGTAGTAGTAGTAGTAGAAGTAGTAGTAGTAGTAGTAGTAGTAGTAGTAGTAGTAGTAGTAGTAAGCCACACATGTCGATGGTTTAAAGCACAAAAGACATATGTTCATATTTGATTGTTAAACATGGCAATAAATATCATTAAAAATAGATAATTAATGGCATAAAAAAATAAACAAAGATTACAATTTTACTGATCTTCTAAAATAATTTATAATTAGTTAATTAATTAAGGATCTCAAACTTTGAAAACCTGTTTTCTTAAAACTGTCAAATGTGGACATCAATCATATCTTTTGTGCTTTTAACCATTGATGTATACTAATTGTGAAAAGATGTTGTTATTTTCCGTTTAAAAAAATACTTTCTTTATTTATACACGCAATCAATGTTATTCTACTTATGACAATTTAAATCTTCAAAAACAAAACAAAGATTATATGCGAAAGAGCTTAAATCAATAATGATTAAAAATTTAATAGTTAAAAACATTGTCAATGAAGTTATGCTTAGCTTACTTTATAAATGCAATTTTTAAAAATGGTAGCTCAGTGGATTTTTAGTATTCCAGATTGATTTATTTACATTTTTTTAAAAGTTTAACATTTTCATGTTCATTTAACAATTTAATATTAAGATTTTAAACAAAATTTAACTGTTTAGAAGCACTCTTTTACATGTATGTGTAACCACTTTAAAACAATTCTCATAAAAGAGTATAAAAGAAAAAGTATCATTTTTTTATTTGTTTTGGCTTAAAAATAAGCTTTACATCTAACTAAAAATATGCTACATCATTTGCTGATTGACGCACTAGAAAAAAATGATAATCAATAATTTAATAAATATGCACCATCGCAAAGATTTACTTTTGCTATATACATTAAAAGATAAACCTTCCTTCATATATTTAGAATGAATTTGAAATTGTTCATACATTGACTGAAAAATTAAAACATCTAACTACCTACGCAATGAACAGCAACGTCATAAAACTTCAATATAGAATGATAGGTGAGTCCTTAATTTTATTCATTATACTTAAGTGTATTTTTTTCTTCAAATAATGTCATCAAAACAATAACAAAAATCCAAAACAATAATACCAGTCTTAACTAAATTTGTTTGTTTTTTATGTTTATTTCAATTGATTTGATATTATATTATTTTCATGTAAATATTGTTCGTGTAACCAAATTTAAGACTCTCAATAAATATTGGCATTAGATCGCCAACTACCAAAAGTACTGTCGTAGTCCTAAAAACCCGCTTAAAATGTTTTAAAATGTCAAAGCTATGTAAGTAAATAAAAAATAATGAAAAATAAAGTTGAGTATAAAAAAATTGTATTTAATTTATTTAAACATACTTTTAAAATTGTTTTAAAAAAGAGAAACAAGTTGATAAAATATTTTTTTGTTGCCTCCTTCTCCTCCCCTAAATGAAAAAAACAAGTTGATAAAGTATATTTACATTTTTATTATTATCCTACCCTATCTTGTCCTTTCTGAGTTCCATGAGGGTTCCAATGTATCCCACACGGAACCCACATGGAACATATGTGGTAAAAGCGTTTTTTTTTTACTAGGTAAAATATGTATATGTCTTTTTATTATTCTTCTACCCTAAACGAGAGAAACAAGTTGATAAAACATATATATTTTTTTATTATTCTTAACTAAATTTTTATTTATCAAAAAGTTTTAAACTTTTAACAATGATCTCTTTGCGTTAAAAAATATTGGTCATATAAAGTTTTTAACCCCCTCAAACTATATATCTATTTTAAAATCATCGTTGAAAAAAGTTTAATTAAGAATTGTAAAAAAAACATTTTTGCTCTCATTTGTTTCTCAATTTGTTGCTCTCATGTTTAGGGCAAAAAAAGAATAAACTATTGAGGAATAATACATGCCACATGTTTTTTAATGACTGAAACGTGTTTATTTCATATATGTGTGTGTGTGTGTGTGTGTGTGTGTGTGTGTGTGTGTGTGTGTGTGTGTGTGTGTTAAAATGCTGGTTGATTTGTATCCTTCTTTTAACTGCTTAGTTACATTTTGGTCTACTTTTACTAAGATTTGTAGAATAATTTTCTCGGTTCTTATTTACTGATGTTAATTATGAAGCTTGGTTTCCAATAATTGTAGAAATGTATGAAATTAATAATTGTAGAAATTGGACGACAATTCTACAACTATTGGAAACCAAATATACAACAACGTTTTATAATGGAAACATTTTCTTGCGTAAAATTGCGCAACTTAAAGTCGGTTGTACAATAAAGAATATGTTGTAAAACAAAAGTTGCTGAAATAGAATCAAATCAGTTTCGGCAACAACTGTTACATAACAAAAACTCACAATTGTTGTACGTTATTTCTACAATTATCACAACTGTTGTACGTCATTTCAACAACTATTGGCAACCAAATTAACAAACTATTAGCGAGTTTAAATAAATAACATCTTTGAAGTAAAAGAAATAAAAAATAAAAATTCATTTACAAATATAACTAAACAATTAATAAGCAATAAAATTGAAAGGATTTAAAAAATTTGAATAAAAAAAAAAACTGGCAACCATTGCAACAGCATCAATTAGTGTTTACGGAAACAGGAAAACAAAAACAAAGCAAAACAAAAAAATTCTAAATGTATCAAGTAATTTATTTTTTATCCATTTACTACATGATTAATTTCATTGACTACAAGTTAGAGTTCTATATCCTATAGTGGTCCAGAAAACCCACTTTTGAGACAAAATAAATAATTTATTTAATATTAGAGCTATATTCACTATATTTGGAATGAGTACAAATATATTTATATACACTCTATTTGGCACGTGTATGACTATACGGTGAAGGATTAAATGAATCACTCACCGTATAGTAAGGTGATGATTTTTATTTGGTTGCTATGGATATTAATTTTGCATGACAACAAGCTTCTTGTATTCACAGAGTCAGTTTTTGTAGAATATTCATAACTTATTTCCTATAAATTGTTAAAAAAATTTTTCGTTTGCATAATCTGTTATGACTTAATGACAAAAATAAATGCTGTAACTACCCCTCCCCTACCCCTCCCCCTCCCCCTCATCGGCCTTAAGTATAAAATATCTGAAGTACAGAATTTGGCAAGTTTAATGAACAATGTATATATTTGAATTTCAACAATGATTAAAATATAGGAAATCTATTGTGACCTGTAAAATCCATTAAAACATCAACTACAAAAAACTGCGCTTTAAAAGCTGCAGAGCACCTTCTGGTTCTCAATAAATAGAACAAAATATTCAATTAAATATATCATCATTACATTTAATCTAGTCACAGTTGGTCGCAAAATTCTCAAAGATGTTTTTATGTACTGCATAAAATCTTCATTTTAGGACTTTTAAGCTTCCATATGTATGAACCCTATTGGAAATGCCAGGTCATCAACAACAGTTGGCACTAAGTGAGTACTCTAAAAAATATGGTATTATTGCTAAGCATTCACATAAAATCTGGTTTCATGAGTTCATTATTCCGTTAATAAATTTCTAACAAAATCAAAATCAAGACATACAAGTCAGAATAATATTGAACTATTTTATCAGCAAAATAAATGAGCCTCAATTTGTCCGTTTGGAGGTGTTCTCATCATTAGATAATTCAGAGTCATCAGCCTTAACGCTATCAAAAATCAGTTCCACCTTCTATTCAAAATCATGTTGAATTTTTTCTCTTTTGCATTTCAGTTTATTACTTGTTAGCTGGTTATTTTTCATTTTCATAAAGTACACAAATCGTAAATGATTGGAGGTGTTGTCATTAATTATTGTAACTTCAATTATATTATTGACTTTAAAAGATTTCTTATTCATAAGGACACAACTTGTATGCGTTACACAATAAATCTTTCTCAGCATGAAAAAGGTTTGCAGTTCCCTTTGCAAATTTAAATTTCGAAGGCCAAAAATATAAAGTAGATGACGGCCTTCGAGACAATGATAACGGTCTTCGAGACAATGATTTTCTTTAAGAATAGTACTTTTATTATAAAAAATTCCAGCAGCTATGGCGCAGTGATTAGAGCGCTTAATTCAGAACTGAAAGGTTCGAGTTTTGATAATATTTTCAGGATTGGTAAGGAATTAGGACTTCAAACTTAAAGCAACAAAATAATTAAGTTTAAAAGAGAAACTAATTTGTTTCTTAAAACCTCCGACTTATATAAGTCTAACTTGGCAATTAATTGATCATCAATGAGAAACCCATTTGTAAAACGCAAAGTCCTAGCAAATTAATTTTGAGATATTGAAGGAAAAGTGACCCACACGTATTTTGCGATCAAAAAAAATTTTTTTGGTAAAAGTTACTTCAGTGTAGTGATACAAATAAAGTAATGCGCATAGGAAAAAATGAAATTTAATAGGATCATGAAATAAACCTGATTAAATTATTGACTTAGCTTATTTTGATAATGTTAGATGGACTATTTTGGATGGATTTTTATGGATTATTTTGAAAGGTTAGTTAGCGAAAAAAAGCATTAAAATAATTTGAAAGGAAAAGCATGAATTTGCATGAATTATTGAAAAAAGTATAAAATAATGGGAACAAACAAAACACTATGGTAAAAGTTGTAGTTTTCTATTTAAAATTTTGATCAAAGAAAATGCTGTACAATGAATAAGTTAATCGTGGTTACAAGCAGCATCTTATCCAAGACAATTGTATATAGTATTTTCCTCATCTACTGGGTCTTTTTCTATAAAAGAGAAATAAACTGTTAACTCAATTAAACGACGGCTAAAATAAATTATCGTTTTAATCGTGAATCAAGTACACCTACACCGTTATTTTTGTTAATAGAAAATAAAAACTTATAAACAGGGGGAGGGGTGGTCTTAATAAGCTTGGATGGATGGGAAAGGTTTACAAAAATTAATGAAAGTCCCCTCCCGTGTGTTAGACGCCTATGAGTGGATATGAAAAAATATATGGCTTGCGTTGTTTAAAAGATTTATCACTTATAATTTAGAAATAAATAATAAATACTACTTTTCTTTTTGTTTTTAATACCAATCCGGTACGCAACCTTTTTTCATTCTAATTCTAATCTATATAACAATGATGAACTTAATAGTAGTAGTAGTAGTAGTAGTAGTAGTAGTAGTAGTAGTAGTAGTAGTAGTAGTAGTAGTAGTAGTAGTAGTAGTAGTAGTAGTAGTAGTAGTAGTAGTAGTAGTAGTAGTAGTAGTTGTTGTAGTGCTCCATCAGCCATGTTTGACACAGAACTCTTGGCAGCCATTGCAACCAAGGTAATGACGAAAAAGAGTCGCAGCACTTTGTTTTATTAGAAAATGCGAACGAATGTGTTTGCAAATATATAACGTACGTAAACTTCAAATTATGTGATGTTAAAACATACTTAACATATATCAGGTTTTACAGTTTGACTTTCACTTGAAGATTGCATTGCATCAACCTCTCATTTATTTTGATCTATAGCATTTATTTCCGTTAAAAAAAATTGTTATATACTTTTAAAATTTTGTAAGTAAATGTGGGGTTTAAATATTATATTAATAAACAATTAATTAATAAAAATTTTTTTTTAATATTTGTAAGTAAATGTGGAGCAAAAATATTGGGAGCTTAGCGATAAGACTATTATAATATTACAACTTCTTCTTGCACCCGCCATGTGTATATTTTACAAATACTGTAGTTATAGTTATTTTAAACGGTGATTTTATAATAAATATAATAATAATAATAATAATAATAATAATAATAATAATAATAATAATAATAATAATAGCAATAATAACAATAATAATAATAATAGTAGTAATAATAAAAATAATGATAATAATAAAAAAATGTGCCAGCTTACTCGAGTGGTTAGCGCGCAGAGCTTCTGAACAAAAAAGCCATGGCTCAAGTCCTACCTGTAGCGACATACACTTCAACCATAGATATATAAATAACTAATTTATATATCTATGACTTTATTTA